TTTGAACCCGTTTTGTTTTTTTAAATGAAACATGATTGAAACGCCTCTGAAAGCTCCAGCGGTGTGCATGCAGGTGTTGGGATGTTCTGAGGCCAAGTGCACTCAATCAATAATTCACCATAGTCAGTGAAAAAACTAATAGTCCATGATTGTGTTCTTCGTTATCTTCTGATGGTGTAGATTTACGAGTTTACCACAGGGAGTTGCCCTTTTAATAGTTATAAGTCATTACCAGTCATAACCTGGGGCAAATTCCACAAAATCAAAGTTTTATGTTTTTTATTTTCACAATGTATAGCAGGCTGACAGCACCTTCATGATAAACACAGTCTTATATCGTGGGTTTAGTTCTCACTTCTCTATGATACCGACTCCACTGAGGCACGGCATGACAACAACATGTCACTATAAGAACATGACTGATTTCCATTACTCCTGACCAGGGTTTTCCCATCTATCACTTTCACTAAATTTATTGTATTTACTTTACTGATACTGATAGATATGCTTCCCCATTCTGCAGATATGTATCACACAAAAGACAGTGAAACATGGAAGACTGTTAAAGATATACTGGTTGTGTCATGCAAACTGAAATGCCAAATGTGTACACACAAACATGTCATTAGGGACATGTTAATCAGTAAGCTAACCAGGCTAACCGTGCCCTGGCTCAAGCTCATGACACCAAAACAGATCATCACGATATCTCTAAAAACTATAAATAGAGTAAACATAATGCACTGATTATATTATTATTATTATTATTATTATAGAGGAAAAAAGTGTTTCCTTAAATCTAGAACTTTTTCTTTAAACTGCCATCACTGCAGTATACACACACTTACCTTTTCAAACTCTATAAAAGCATAACAGAGGGAGTCTCCAGTTTTCCAGTCCCTGATGATCTCACAGCTACACAGAACAAAGGATTATTTGAAGAAGACAATATAGAACCAAGGCAAAATATAATAAATAGAAATAACTGAAAAACAAGATACTTTGTAGTACTTGGAGTGAAGCGTCACCTTTTTATGCATCCAAAGCGAGAAAAAATGATTTCCAGGTCCTCATCTGTGGTCACTGGGTTCAGCTTGCACACAAACAGCACGTTTTCTGGAGGCTTCACATCTGCATCAGGGAGGTCGCCCACCTGGATGGATTTACAACAGAAAAGCTTGAGTATTTATTTTTTTGCATCTTCTTACACGCACTCTCTCACACACACACACACTTCAACATAAAGCTGAGAGCAGGTTTCCTTATCTTACCATCTCCAACAGGATAGCCTGAGTCTTGGCCTCTTTCTCCTTCAGCTTCTCCTCCAGTTCCTCGGCTCCTTTCCCATCTGTATCATCGACCACTTCATCTGCACCGATACGGCCACTCTGCACAGCCATGGCAGAAACATTTACTTACGGTACTGTACAGAAGTCATGCTAATTTCTTTAGATTTTGCTTCCAAGGTGCCAGACCTAATTTTTAAAGTGGTTTTTGAGCAATAGTTCTCCTGGCTTTCTGACGATTGTTCAAAGTGTTTTTTGCATATTGGCTGCTTCTTTTACTGCAGTGTGTACAAGTACTACTTCTACACAATTCAGAAAACATGTGCTTACAGCCATCTGTAAAACATGGCAAAGGCTCTGTCATGGTTTGGGGTTAAGTTTCAGCCAGTGGTGTTGGGGATCTTGTCAAAACTGATCGAATTATGAACGCAACAAAGTATCGTTCGATTCTGAAAAACCATCTGGAAAGGATCTGACTGGCAGCAGCTTAATTTTTCAGCATTACAATGATGTCAAACTGACTGCCATTGCAGTCGAAGCATACCTAGATAGAAAAACACACAACAGAACACTATCAGTCACGGATTGGACTCCGCAGGGCAGTGTGGGGTCATCTTGACAGAGAAGGCAGCCAACATCCAAAACAGAGCATTGATGTCCATCAAGATCAATATTCTTTTAAACAACTTTAACAAGCAAGCTGCCTAAGAAAGTTCAGGATGTGTTAAAGAAGGTGTTTGACCTTTAAGGTTGTTCAAATTAGAATCGCAAATATGAGATAGATATCTTTTTTATCTTAGCTTTATGATCTTGCTATGAACATTATCTAATTGAAGCTGCGGCCCTATACTCACATCCAGCTGCTCCTTGGTGGGTTCAGGCGATCGATCAGGCACCGGTAGGTCAGGAGGGTCATCGAACGGGTCGTCCAGGATCACTGTGTGGTTTATCCTACAACAAAATGTAATAATAATAATAATGATGATAATAATAATAATATGCCCTGAGGTTTTTTTTTATTAAAGTGATAATGAATGCAGCATTAACATTATTCTTCAAGTTGATAAAACAAGTGCAATACAGTTTGTCTTGACTCGCCTGATATCTTGGAATGGGACAAAATCCTTGTCAACAAAGGCCTCATTGATTTTGTTCAGGACGTCCATGCCCTCAGTCACTTCCCCAAACACTGTATGAACTCCATCCAGATAGTCTAGGTTCTCGCCAGTGGTAATTAGAAACTAGGAAGAAACATACCTCTAGATATAGTATCTCATGTTAAACAATCTTGCAAAATATTATTTAAAATGTATTTATAATATATATTACATACAGATCTATGATTTCTGTATGAATGTTGAATATGTTTATAGATCATCTAATCTGGTCTAACCAACAGGGGATGAATAATAATGTATTTTTTCTGTGGTTACTGGTCTGAAAGCACTCAACACTGGGTGCTCATCTCATTCACCTGAGAGCCGTGCTGATCATTTCCATTGTTCACCATGGACACCGTCCCCTTCTTCTTGTGTTTAATGCGTGGCATTTTCTCCAGATCAAAAAAGCGTGCCTGGTCCCCATACAGTTTGCTAATAAGGCACAATGGAGAGCATCTTTATTTTTTGTCCAACATCCTCAATCTGCTGCCCTCTTAAAAGACGGATAAGACTCACCTATACACAGATTCTCCTCCACGACCTGTGCCAGTAGGATCTCCAGCCTGCATGATGAAGTCTCTCTGGAAAGAAGATGAAGAGTTATGACATGTTACACATATAATGTGAAGAAAAAGACAGAAAAAGTGCAAAATCTTCATTAGAGTCTGAAAAAATATGGAGAAGATTACAGATGTTAAAAGTTTCTACTGAAAAGTCTACATACGATTAAATATATGAATAAAAATTGGCAGACGACACCCAAAGGCAAACGCCCGGTGGTCCAGCAGCATTAAAACCCTGACAATGGGTTTGCTTTACGCAGTGGCAGCACAACTAAATCAAGAAGAAGCTAAAATAACGGATGTCTGAATGAAATACTCTAACTGACAAACTGCTGCATGTGTCAATTTGATAGGTTTCTTTTAGACTTTGCTGCAGGCTGACAGCAGCAACTTTGTCTCTTTATAGCGGCAATACCTGGAGTACGCACAGGTGACTCTCGAGTCTCGACGGAATGAGAAATGAAATTACTCCAGTTATTTTAAAACTTCAGCTACTACATTTTTCTCATTTAATTTTACAATATCAAATACAAATCTAATATGAAATTATACTCTGACGTTCAGGCTTCCAGTGATCCATCCATCTACTGCTTATTGGGGTTGCATGGGCAGCAGAGAAACCCAGACCTCCCACTCCTCGGCCACTAACTCCAGCTCATCCAAGGGAACAGTGAGGTTTTCTCAAACCCGCCAAGATATGATCTCTCTAGTGCAGGGTTGTCAAATATACGATCTGGCTTTGGAAAATGTGAAGAGGGGCATAAATTGTGGACTTTTAACTGTATTTTTCCTGCTTACAAAGACCTTCCCCATGGCCATTCATGCTACACCAAAGTAACTAACTGGCAGTTAGACATTTAAATGACAGAAAAGTTCTTCTTTTATTCATTATCTGCTATAGAAAGTAATTACAGGAGAGCCTCGTTAATGAGCTACCAGAACCTTGTTTTCTGTAATTTCACAGAAAAAAAAATCTTCAATTTACAAGAACAACATTTGTTTATCATGTAGAAAAACTGAGCCGTACTGCATGCACGACCATGCAGGTGCTAGACAAGTGTAACTAGTAAACTGTTTGGGAGTATTTAGAGACTTGTCCTGCTGATAAAGGTGAGCCATGGAACATGGATAAAGTTCTGAGGACTATCTGTCTCAAGTTGTGGCTAACAAGCAAGGAGGTACTAAAAGGAAATTAAAATCTAGACTAATCAACAAGTCTGACCGCATGGGAACAAACTTAGCAGTAGAAACACCAACCTTCCTTTCTTGCACGGTAACGTCTACATGCTGGTTTGCCATTATGGCAACAATGCAGTTTCAATTGAATTTGAATTCTGCCATATTAACTTATTACTGGGTCTAAATGCAACACCACTTACACCCAACTTCCGCTATTACTACATACCGTATTCTGGGTTGCTTGAGGTTTCCCAAAGAAAACCAAATTTGAACCATTCACTACCACATAAAGTTTATACAGGACATTTCGCTTTACCTGCACATTGTGGATGAGGCAGTAGTTGTAGTATTTTATCTTGCATAACTTCAGAAAGTTTAAGCAAGCTGGAAAAAGAGCACAGAGTCCAAGTTAAGCCAAAGTAATTATAATTAACTAAGTCTTTATTAACAGAGTATTTATAGCAACACGATGTATGGGTAACTTTGCACAACACCGGCTAATGTTACTAAAACGAATATGAAGCAAACATGCTAACGACGGTAGCTAGCAACCATTAATTCTGTAGTTTAACGTCCCAGTGAGTGACTCAACCAGCAGCCGCTTACAGAAATTAGCTACCACCAAGAGTAAGAATTTTTGTAGTCTTACTTTTAGGCCTTTCGTCTGTAAACAAATCGATCACAATATCGCCCAGACTCGTTTCAAGGAGCACCGCCATGCTGACGTTCCTCTTCTCGCGAGAAGAAAATCTGCGCCTGCGCAGTACATTTGCGTGCTCAATGTTTTTGTTTTAGCTGTCCTGCTGCTGGGAAGTGAACTCAAAATGGAAATGACGTGGTCGACAGTTTGTGTTCTATTACTTCTTTTTGTCTCAGCAACTCGCACAGAGTCGTCGAATAGACAACTGAATACGGTAAGAGCCACGGAGGCAGCAAATATATGGAGCTAACTTGATCATCATAGCATTAGCTTACTGAGAGTCCAGGGCCCTATTCCGGAAACCAGGTTTAGCCAACAATTGAGGCTAAACCTGATGAGTGGAAATTCCCAAGTTTTTTTTTCTCCCAGAAAGAGAGTTAACGTAATCTCAGCCTCGGATACCTTGGAAACACTTTGTGAACTTACCTTGCTCACTAGCAAGTTTTAGTCAACCAAGTCGTCCTTCCACAGACTCCTCCCTTCCTGCAGCACCTGAACACATTTTTCAATTTCCTCATCCAAATAGCACATAGAAGAGCGAATTAGTTTACAGAATTTTACATTTTACAAACACAGAAATCCTATTTACACGTTAGTTTACTGTTTTATGTACCCAGCATGAGTGCTTTTATAATCACTTAGTCGTCAACAACTGATACATCGATTACGCGGATTTATTATCAACAAAGAAAAAACTCTAAAGGCTAGTCTGCATCTTTCTAACTCTTGACTATTTCCCTGTAATAAAAAGGTTGACCGTTTTAATCAAATCTTTAGACACAGAACACGCTGATCAGTGATCAACCATATTTGTGTAATCGGTCACACTGATGGAAAAATGCCTGTCATAGTTGAGATCTTGGTGATGTGAATATGTGAGTGAAGAGGAGGCTGAAATGGTTTTGGTATTTTAAGAACTAAACCGATTTTAAAGTGACTTTTTAAAACGAGGCTGTAGAAAGTCTAACTATAATCTGATTACACATCATGTTGAAATGTGTTCATGGACTGAAATTCAGTCATTAAATGATATTAAAAAACATCCCACTGTCAACATCAGCAAACAGGTCTGCCTTGGAGTCAACTCGCACAGTGCATAAGGATCACAGATTCAGACTGGATCAAATCTGTATCCAATTCAGATCCAGCCATTTCCCATCTCATTCTGTCTGGACCTGCTTTGGATCAGTTCACTTCCACTTCCACATGCATCAGCATGTGTGTGTATCACTTCTCAGTGAATTGAATCAGCATTTCAATTTGTGTGTGTGTGCGTCAATTCTCACTCAATCAACGAGTGCCTATGTTCATATGTGTGTTTCTTTTCATTCTGATTCAATGCATGTAGATGAGTGTGTTTGTGTGGGTGTTTGTGTTCATCACTTTCCTGTTCTGGTGTTCTGAGTAAACCAGCTCTTGGATCAGTTCATAGTGGCTTATTTTGTCCCAAAGCTGCAAATCTCATTAAGAAATGTTTTTTCATGGGAGAAATGATAAAATCCTCCATTCAATTTTTTAAGGTGGTTACAGCCGTTAAGTACATTCAAATATAAAACAGTGATTAACTCTCTGTAACTCTTTATTTACTTGTGGCCATAGTGAACCTGCTTCCTGCAATAGAGCACAGCTACATGTACTGTAAATTACAAGCATTGCAGTGTTAAACCTAATCCTTTCGTTTTTAATTACTGACCACCGTAGGAAAACATCCTAATCAATGTGACAGCGGGGACACTGGCAGACACACAGCTGCAAGACTCTAACAACTTACAGGTACTCGGTGTAAACTGCTCAGTAACCGAAGGTTTGTTTTCTGTAAGTATGAACTGCGACAATTAGTCGCCTTTTTGTTTTGTCTATTTTTTTTTCTTTTTTCAGATAAATTTAAACATATCAGTGAGTGAAGAGCAGGTGCTGGTCAATGACGTCCCAGTGGAGCTGTCGGGGGTCACTAGGTTCAACTGCCAAGCGCTTCTCTGTGAGTTTTTCACACATTTATTCAAACCACTGTGGTTTTAATCAGGGGAAAGCACTTATCTCAGCTGGAAGAAAATATACTGTTCAAATGTTAGAAATGTAAATATTATTGTCAGTGTAAATTCAGTAGAGTTCAGTATTGTTTAATCAATCATGATTTCAAATGTATATCAGATTAGAGTAGTTTATTCTTATGCTTTTCCTTATTGTTTTTGTTAAAAAAGAAAAGAAAAACCACATGGTGGTTAATCACATTAAATAAAAGTGGTCTGAAACACTTTGAGAATGAACCAAGGGGCAAGCTCTATATAAGACAAATACAGATTATTTTGGTATTTGGTGAACTGTGAGTCATGCTGTGATAGTCTAGTTAAATTCAATAAGAAAAATATGGATCTGGAAGTGAACACAAGTCCACTTTAAAGTCAATTAACATTACAGTGATTGGAAAAGTCAGTGATAATGGACTTTTAGACAATCATAAATCACTAATGGTTTTTTAATGGACTACCCAACAGACAAACAGGTGCCTGGGTTCCACATTATGTTTCCTAATGTGAGTTTATCATTTTAAAAATGCCAAGTGATCAATAGGAAGACATTTTCCCATTAAGTAAGCATAGCTGAAAACCGTACTGCTGATTAAAGAAGCAATACATTTGAGCAGTTGAAGCAACAACTGAAAAAGCCTAAGTCTTCAGCTGGCAGCTTCATTAAAGTGTAACCATAAAACAGGAGAGATCAGAGACTGGCCAATAAAAGATGAAGATTCAGACATACAAATGAGCACAGACAGTGGGAAATGTGACCTGTTCTGTTGAAGCTGCCAGTTGGAGCCCAAGAAGTAAAAATTCTTAAATTCTTGCTCAGCTCAGTTGTGCACAAGGTCCTCCCACCAGTCTTTTAGAGACTGGTTAGACCCAACTCCAGTTCTTGTTTTCAAGGGAAGTCTGTGGATTTCTTGACAGTGACATTTCAACCTCTAATTCCTCTAATTCTGCTACATTTTGTTTGTTTTTCTTAGTGGACAGTGTCAATGGGAGCAGTGAGTTTGAGTCTGGGGACATAGTGTCCACTGTTACCCGGGTGATGGTGAGCCAGAACAGGCTATACAGTGACTCAGAGGAGGTGGTGGCTCTTCAGGTCTTCAGTGAAGTGATAGAGATGGATGGCAAAGAGGTAAACACTAATTGTACAGCTGTCTGACAGAATCTCACAGTTTGTTTGTTTTTTTAATGTTAAGAATAACTCTGGAGTAAATATGACTGAAATTATCATGTGGGGACAAGCCTCTGTGGCTTTAAAGAGGTGGTGATTGCTTATACTAAACATGACCAGAGTTTAAAGCTGATGCTCTTAAAAACTTGCTTTCACATTCAAAAATCCAAAGTAAAACAGTTTATGTTCATGTAGCAACAGGAAATAGTGTTTCCTCATTTCTCCAGTACAGCCAAATCGGATGGACATAGCTTCCAGGTCTGAAATGTGAACCATATGTGGAAATCCCAAAAGTTGATTCTGTTCATGTGGACGTAGCGTTTTCAGTGGGAGAAATGTTTTTTCACTCATCCAAGTGACTCCTTCAGTCTCAGCTGAACGCAGGTTTCCCCGACCTTATAAACAGTACATTTGCACAGTGACTGAAAGTAGCACCACTGAATGAACAATGGGCCCTGATATGGTTCTTTCTAACGGCCAGCAGGGGGCGGCAATTGTGGTGGCTAAAAGAAGTTTATAAAAGTCTCTCGAAAAATGTCCCTCGCTCTATGACCTCATTAAACACTTTGCCGACGATTATGATGCCAGTCATTAGTTTTGAGTCTTAGAGGATGCAACTTAGTGTTTATGTTGTAAATTATGGTCCCCTTTAACATGCACAAAAAGCAAACAAGCCAGACTTAGCTTCTTTTTTATGGGGGCGGGGAGTTCACTTGTGATTGACAGATCACTTTAGAATGAGCAGTCAGCCTTGCTTTAACTGTGAAATCTGGATAATGGTGACAACAGGGCTTTTTTTGACCCTATGTGACCCATATCCGATCACGGTTTGACAGTGTGAACAGCACAAATCCGATATTTTCAAATCCGATCTAGGTCACTTTCGCATGTGGTACTGAATCTGATACATATCTGATGTTTTAGAAAGCGACTGCTGTTTGAACGGTCATGTCGCATTAAATCCGTCTTCTACATCACTGACACAAGACAGACGCCAATTAACAGCGCTAAAGAAGACATCGCGAACGCTTGCTGGCCATCCAGTGAAACTGTTTGGAAGACAGCGTTGGAGAAACGTGAACATTTTATTTGTACTGCATAATCTGCAGATTCTGACTGAAATCTGCAGATTCTGACTGAAATCTGCAGCTATCCTTTGAAGCACCGCTCCTCTCTAAAACAGCAATAAGGATAATTATTAGGCCATATCTAAATAACAAAATAACTTTATAACTTAAAGCAAAATTGAGAAACGTAAAGTCCAAAACAAGTCTTTATATTAAGGGCCATCAGTCAAACAATACTGTTTGGTCTGGGTCTAAACAGTGCGTTGTGTGTGACGTCTTCTTTTGCACATGCGGGCCGCTTTGAGGGTTCACACTAGAGCGCGTTTGCTGTCACATTTTATTTGTAGTGTGAACAAGCAGACAAAAAATTCGGATTTGATCAAAAAATCAAATCCTTAATTGAGCATTAAGACCTGCAGTGTGAACGTAGCCATTGTGTACGGCATTCTAGAATTTGACTTGTCATTCAAGTCAAATTCCAAATGCATTGTGGGATGCGCCTTTTGAGTCTGATGACTCATCCATAAAATATGCATCAAAGAGGCAGCTTAAGTATGTTTATTTTAAAAAGTTGCTGCATTTTCCTTTTTGTTTTTTTTTGTGTGTGTTATTCAGGTCCAGCAGCCTGACATGTGTGAGGTGAAAATACTGATGAGCCCAGACTTCCAGAAGCTGGCCCAGTTTACCAACATCTACCCCATTGGACACAGTGATATCTTTAGGGTTCCCAGAGAAAATGATGTGGTTGTCACAGATCCACCAAATTCTAGAAAAGGTTTGCTTTTTGTGTCCCAATTGTCAGTAAACTACTCATTAGCTGTCCAGTTTAGAATATTGGCTATTAATTAATATTTAATATTTTTCCTCCTGCACTTTTCAAATCAGATGAAGAGCAGCTGATCTCTCAGACCACAAGCCAGTATCCTCTGAAGCACACAGAGACCACCCGGGAAGAGATTGCATCCCCTGGAAAACTCCCAGAGACCCCCCTGCGTATGGATCCTGACCTCCTGTATGATGTCAGATATGATGATGAACTTGATTACACTTACCCGAGCCAGCCTGATCAGAATCAAATGGAAACTCCACCCAAGGAACTTATTTCTTCTTACTCTGTAAGTGCAAGTCTGCAGTAAGATCACACTCATTCCAAACAATACAGTCTGCTCCACAAGGAGTTTCATAGGGTCGGACTGAGGATAAACCAAGGCCAGTATAAAATACTGTAAATCACACAAAGCTACTCTTTGGAGTCGCAGAGTAAAAACAGGGAGCCAGAGTCTCTACTATTAGGAAGATTAAAGTGAAAGATCTGAAAAAAATGTCAAAGTTTGTAGTTATTTTATGTTATCAGGAGAAAATATTGAGTAATATTTCCATCACAAACTACACAAAGTTAGCTATACAAAAAGAAATCCTGCAATCCAGCAGTTAAAAGCACATCATTTCCTCAATTTTGACACTTCTAGTCTTCACAAAGTGAGCACATTGTTTGAAAATTTCTTCCACAACAATTAACAATGTCTCCCCAGGCCATGTGTCAGTGGGTAGAGCAAGCCAGGGAGCGTCTGCGGCGCTTCTGTTCCGAATCCCTGCCTCTCTTCTTCCTGGTCATGTGGGTGGTCGTGATCGGCGTGGTCGGATCAGCCGTCATCGTCAAGATCTTAGATGTGTTTTTCCCAATTTGTGAACATAAGTGAGTTTGTTGCATAGATACAAGATGAATGTAGCTGTTGTCACCTATTGGTTTCTTTACTCTTTGGCTGCCGCCATATTTGTTTTCTGGAGGTGGGAGTCACCATATTTAGATGAAAGGGTGGCGTGCTGAGTTGCTAAAGAATGCAAGCTTGGTTAGGAAGCATTCATATTCATGTGCAGACATGCATATTGCTAACAGTTTAATGTAATGCTAGAATTTCACTCACCAGAAGAGAAGAGCAAACTTCTTGAACTGCCTCCTAACTTTAAACTTTCAAATTCAAATTATTAAGTTGCAGAAAAATTCCTGGCAGATGAGGCTGGTTCTGCTGAGTGTTTTTCCTTCCCCCTTTTGCCAAAGCGCTTGTTCATAGGGGTTATATGATTGTTGGGGTTTTCTGTTGTAGGATCTTTACCTTATAATACAAAGCGCCTTGAGGCAACTGTGATTGTGCACGCTATATAAATAAAATTCAACTGAATTTTTGGTGCTGACCTCAAGTGGTCATTAGATGAACTACAGTTCTTTTTGCATCTGCTTCATTTTTGGGACCCAGAGGTTGGGTCCCAAAAATTTTGACCCCCCCCCGTGATTACTTCCAACAAACTTTATTTTCTGTTTTACAGGCGCATTTTTAATGTAAACTCTGTCCCTGTGATGCCAGAGGATGAGAAGCACAATCTCCTGGAGAACATAGAAGTAGAAGCAGAGGAAGAAGAGAAGAAGCCTTGAATGAGGATCATCTTGACCGGCTCCTCCAGTTTGTTCCTATTTGTTGTTTAACCTGCGGTTTGGCATGGCCTGGTTTTGTTCTGATCTGTGAATCACCACAGCTTTTCCTGTCACTTTACTCTTTCATGGTCTTCGTGAATCTTTTCATCAGCCAACATAAGATCATTTAATGTTAGCTTATATGAGTCCCTCAGAATGGAGATTAAAGTGAGAGATTTATGGTGCTGAATGTCATGATGCAATGAGATTAAAGTATGGAAGGCTTACGGTTACCTTACCAGAATCTGCTTTCAGCACATCATGCAGAGAATCTGCAACAGTGACCACTTTGGCTTTACCCACACCCAAAACATGTTTAGCTGTAATGCAGTTAACAAAAACAATGTCCAAGATTCAAGGGATTATCAGATGAGCTGAAGCTCTGCTTTTTGAGAAACACTTCGTTTTTGGGTTTTTTTTTTTAAGTCATTTTAGCTGAAGGTCAAAGGAAAAGACTGATACCGCTCTCCAGCTGCTGGTCTTGTTTAGACTTCTTTAAAGAAATCTGCCAAAATCTTTCTACAAGCAACCCTTCCTAACTGGCACCCATGTTGGAAGGTGTTTTGAAGCTCCCATCTAAATGAATGGTAAGACCCTCTCAATATTATTTATAATGTCCATCAGGACAAAAACTGGAAAAGGCCTTTTTGGTAATAACATGACATAACAGCTCTTATATAAACTCAAACCATTCAAAGTTTACTCTCTTTCCTTTGCTTCGGTAAAACTAACTGTTAGCTGCAAGGCTAACGTGATCAACCCAGCTTCCTGATGGCAGAGCTGTGCAGACACCGTGTATAGGGCATAAATACAAATGATTACATTAACATAAGTCATTGAAATTTCACCACCAGGGAGCAGTGTTTTATCAGTGGGTGTTTAGAAATGTTTTTGAATGTAAGCTTCTTTACTTCTATTTGGTAATTCTATTTCTGCCATATCCCTGATTCCGCAAGTAGCTTTGCTTTTCCCGGTATGATATTGTTGATAAGAATGTGCTCCTAATGACTTGCCTGGTTGGCTCACTGCACCATCTTGTGGTACAAATTGGTATTACACAAAAGTACGGTATAACCTTTAGCCTTTGTATCAGATCTGCTCCAAAGCTCAAGACCAAAGCAGTTTGATATGGTCTACATCCTCAGAACTGTTACTAAATGGACCATTTATCCTGTTTAGTTCAAGTTTACGTATCACTAAAAGTTTGCAGCGCAGAATAAAAAGCTAGATGCTGTGGGGTTAACCTATAAATATGGACAAACTGAGAATTTTAGAACCAGAACCAAACACTTCAGAGTTCCCTTAAAAAAAACTTTGTGTATGTAGTTCTTTACAGGTCATACATTTGTTTGCTGTATGTGTGTGTGCGTGCATGCGC